AAAAAAAAAAAAAAATAAAAGTTACATATTAAAGTGTCAACACTGAGAAAGTTTTTTTTGGACAGGATCTCACTCTGTTGCCCAGACTGAAGTGCAGTGGTACAATCACAGCTCACTGCAACCTCCAACTCCTGGGCTCAATCAATCCTGGCTCAACCTTCTGAGTAGCTAGGACTACAGGTGTGTACCACCATGTCTCACTAATATTTTTTTAGAGATGGAGTCTTGCTATCTTCCCAGGCTGGTCTTGAACTCATGGCCTCAAGCAATCCTACTGCCTTGGCCTCCCAAAGTGCTGGGAGTATAGGTGTGAGCCACTATGCACAGCCTTTCCCAGCACACAATTTTATGACCCGTCCTGTCTACCACTAATTCAACCGTCTACTCAGACATATTCCTCCATTGGCCCTGACTTCACTGAACTGCTCAACCTTAACACCCAACATTTGAGGCAATATTGCTTGGGTTAGAAATACAAAATTCATCATGTTTACTTGCTGAGCCTAATGATGCTATATATATATATATATATATATATATATATATATATATATGAACTGGTCACTTACTTACATAGAAATGCCTCTAAAACTAGATAACAAGAAAATAGGGTTCTGGAAAACAGGTGTTTTACCAGGATCAATGCCTTTGGTCCATGTACTAAGAATGCTTTAGCAAGACAAATCATGCCCACAGTTTACACTTTAGAATTTGATTGATAGCCCCTAAAATTCTTTTATAATAGACTTTACACAGGATACTATACTGTATAATTGTTTCATATAAATTCTGATTTTCTGAGCCCTTCAACTGGGTAGAAAATTATTTTTTGCTGGGATCTAAATTGGTAAATAAATAGCGAATACATTTCTAATATGTTGCATAAAGTACTATATTTAAAGCATGTGTTTTTTTTAAAAAAAACAACAAATAGGAGACTTTTAAAATTAAAAAAAAAAATTTTTTTTTTTTTTTGAGACAAAGTCTCACTCTGTTGCTCAGGCTAGAGTATAGCGATGCAATCATAGCTCACTGCAGCCTCAAACTTTTGGGCTCAAGTGATCCTCCTGCCTCAGCCTCCCAAGTAGCTGGGACTATGGCCAGCTAATTTTGTTTTTCTATTTTTTGCAGAGACAGGGTCTCACTATGTTGCTTAGGCTGGTCTCGAATCCCTGGGCTCAAGCGATACCCTTGTCTCAGACTCCCAAAGTGCTAGGATCACAAGCATGAGTCACAATGCCTGGCCAGGAGAGTTTTAAAAATGCATCATTTTTGCATGGAACTTCAGGTGAACTCCTGACCTCAAGTGATCCTCCCACCTTGGCCTTCCAGAGTGCTCAGATTATAGGCATGAACCACCTCACCCAGCCTTGAATGTTCTTTTTCTTAAAAGGCTCTGGTTTTAATATCCAATATTCCCTAGAAGAAGTAAACTGTATCTGTCTGGCATGCAAAGAGTTAAGAAAGATAGAATTAGATCTATTCAAGATCTTAAATAAGTCAGGGCAACCAGTTCTCTAAATGCCTAAGATTTGTATTAAAATTCCGAGGCCAGCAATTTATTTTGAACTTTTGGAATATCTGAAAAACAAAAACCTGGTTTGAGATATCCAAAGAGAATACTCTTTGGATGAGACGATTCCCTTATAGCAAACCTTAAGTTGGTAAAGGGGTTTCTCAGGGTTCTAAAACCTTAACTCCTACTTGGGGTTTGGGTGAGAAGACAATATTTTGGATTAATGGAGAAAATGTACTTGCTCATCTGCATTTCTCTAATATAATAAAAATGGGAAGAGTGAGATAATAATATAAAAGGTGAGAAAGCTCAATTGAATAGCCTTCACTTTGGGTTTCTCATGTATAAATGTCTATAAGACCACTTATCTCACCATATGGTTGTTTATATCTTCATCCCACTCACCCTATCCCCTCAGAGTCTAAGAGCCTCCAGATATCCTAGTTATCTTTATATCTAGAATTGGGCTTAGCAGAGATGGTACTTAATATCTGCTAAATAAGTGAGGTGCAGTGGTGCATGCCTATAGCCCCAGCAAGTTGGGAGGCATAGGCAAGAGGATTACATGAACCTAGGAGTTTGAGATCAGCCTGGGCAACATAGTGAGACCCCGTCTCTTAAAAAAAAATTGCCAGGCCAGGCGCGGTGGCTCACGCCTGTAATCCTAGCTCTCTGGGAGGCCGAGGCGGGCAGATTGTTTGAGCTCAGGAGTTTGAAACCAGCCTGAGCAAGAGCGAGACCCCGTCTCTACTAAAAATAGAAAGAAATTAATTGGACAACTAAAAATATATAGAGAAATTAGCCAGGCATGGTGGCGCATGCCTGTAGTCCCAGCTACTCAGGAGGCTGAGGCAGAAGGATCACTTGAGCCCAGGAGTTTGAGGTTGCTGTGAGCTAGGCTGATGCCACGGCACTCTAGCCCAGGCAACACAGTGAGACTCTGTCTCAAAAAAAAAAAAAAAAAATTGCCAAATAAATGAAATGGCAATATTTAAACTAAAATATCCATTCTATCCTTGATGGTGTTAAGTAATGCAAAGGGTATTTTTATTTATAAATAATTCCAATTTATGTGTTGTTCAATAAAAGACTATAATATTCAAGAAAACATTTGCTTTTTCACCACTGAACTAACCAATAGGATAGTATCAATCCTGACTTTTATAGTCACGGAACAATAGAGTCCTCTCACAATTAAAAGAAAACAGGGCTGGGCGCGGTGGATCATACCAGTAATCCTAGCACTCTGGGAGGCCAAGGGGGAAGAATTGCTTGAGCTCAGGAGTTTGAGACCAGCCTGAGCAAGAGTGAGACCCTGTCGCTAGTAAAAATAGAAAAAATTAGACGGGCACACGCTTGTAGTCCCAGCTACTCAGGAGGCTGAGGCAGGAGGATCGCTTGAGCCCAGGAGTTTGAGGTTGCTGTGAGCTAGGCTGATGCCATGGCGCTCTAGCCTGGGTGACAGAGGGAGACTTTCTCTCAAAAAAACAAAAACAAACAAAAAAACAGTACTATATGCTCTGTGCTCTGCTGGATCAAACAAAAAAAAAGTTTTCAGAAACATTATAAAATTCACTTATGTATTTCAAATTACTAAAGGTACTTTTACCTTTAAAACTGAGTCTTCTATTTTTTTGGAGTAAAAGAACCAGTTATGAGATCCTTTGAAACCTCAGCCAATATAAGACCACATGTAAATACTTTATCTTAAAGTATGAATAACAGCATTTTAAAAAAGAAAATAGGGCTTAAGAATGAATTTTAAGTGTTACAGCTCTTTTAGAATTTATCTAGCAGGTTTTCTGGTCCTCACCGGAAGACACGCCCCCCACCCCCCACCGCCGCCAAAAGAATGGATTTTATTTTCCCATAATTCACATATATAACTTTTAAACAGGCAATATAGTTTTTTTTATAAGAACATATTTCCTATTATATCATTGTTAGTATTAGGCATTACTTGATATTTCAAGTAATTAGGGACTTTATTTCAAATTTTAACTTGAAACACTAGGTGAAAATAACTTATTGTTATTTTGACCCTGACTCTCAAACTCTAGTCTCTACCAGAAGTGTCTTACTTTTTGTAATCACAGAAATTATCTGTTTTTCCAGGGCTGGAATTGCAGAAAGCACTCAAAATCAGGGTCATATTTCAATGTATGCAGGTGAACTAACTGCTCCAAAGACCTACTTAATTCAACTGCATGCTCTTAACTAAGCTTTAAGTCCCCTGGTTAGTTTAAGTGAATTTGATAGCCTTAAAAAATTCTGTGGATTATTTAATTTTTTTCCATTGTAGAAGAAGGCCAGTTAACTATTTTACTTTCATTGATGCACTAGATGTATCATGTTACACTATAATAAATAATAGAAATAGGTCTGCTATAGGAATAACAGCGGATCCTGACAAATAGCAGCTGTTTGACATATATGAACAATATCATCTTTCTCCCATCTGGAAAGGCCCAATTACTCATTAATTTCCCCCATCCAGGTATTTCTATTATTGATGCAAAAGCTGTTCACTATCATTTCTATCATATATTCATTTACTGTAAATAAGGAGTAGTTGCTCTTCTCTGGTCATGAAGGAGAGGCCTGCCTTTGTTTAAGGCTACCTTCCCTCCAAAACAATAAAAGATAAAAATAAATTATTACCTGATATAAGAATGAGGGATTCCATAGTTATAACCTGAAACATGAGAGACTCTTTGAATAATGGGAATATCACAATGTCCTAATATCGGAGAAAAGTGATTTGATGAAAAGAGTGCAGTGTTAGTTTCTGTTTGCATATAGGAATCAGCAGCTGTGGTATTCAGAATTCGTGTTTTTGTATGGTACTGGGAATCATCTGGTAGCATGTGTTCCAGCACTTTTAGATAAGTGGACTTCTGTTCATTTGCAGAGAAATCTGATAAACGGCACATTTCAAACCCATCATTGCTGGCAGTTCTGTCTTTATTGTCCACAGGAGAATCAAAGTGCAGCTGTCTGCGAGGGCCAGATCTGAATTCCTGAGGCTTGATGTACACGCTACTTGTCTGAAGATGATGCTCTGGGCTGACTGTTTTATCTTCTTTCTGCATAATCTTAATAATTTTGATAAGTTGGAAGAGACGTTTGCGGTCGTTCATGTCATGGACTCCCAGTTTGGAGTAGTCCTTCATCGTAACCTTGGCTAATTCATCTATTTTCTGAAGGCCAAGGGCAGTAAAATGAGGATAATACTGTGCAAGTTCAGCTTCACAAAGACATTCATATAACCAGGATGCCATTTTTGTGAATAGGTTTCTATAAACTCTGAAGAGAGAAAAAAGAAGTCATTCACTTGAAACAAAGTATATGTAATACAATTATTCCTTTTTTGGGCAGGGGGAACAGAGTCTCACTCTATTGCCTGGGCTAGAGTGCTGTGGCATCAGCCCAGCTCACAGCAGCCTCAAACTCCTGGGCTCAAGCAATCCTTCTGCCTCAGCCTCCCGAGTAGCTGGGACTACAGGCATGCGCCGCCATGCCTGGCTAATTTTTTTTTATATATATATATTTTTGGTTGTCCAGCTATTTTCTTTCTATTTTTTAGTAGAGATGGGGTCTCGCTCTTGCTCAGGTTGGTCTCGAACTCCTGAGCTCAAACAATCCACCTGCCTCAGCCTCCCAGAGTGCTAGGATTACAGGCATGAGCCACCGCGCCCAGCCACAATTACTCCTTTAAAAAAATGAAAACCAAAAAACAAACGCAGATAATTTTTTTTTTTTTTTGAGACAGAGTCTCACTGTGTTGCCCAGGCTAGAGTGCCGTGGTGTCAGCCTAGCTCACAGCAACCTCAAACTCCTGG